TCAATCATGATCTCTATAATTTTCTGGATCCAATAATCAGATTCCCGATTTTCTTAGTTGATGTAGTTTCCTCTTCCTTTTGATCAGCCTTTATGTAGGCTTAAGCTATCTTCCGATCTACGGCTTCTGGTATTACCTATTACTTTAGCCTTCCATGGGCGCTATGGAATATCCATGATACAATCTTTTAACAATTCAATCCTTTGTCTATGACATGGACTCAATTCTTTCTTTTAACTTACACCGGAGTCTTTTACGGTTGTATGATTGTCAACATATATGCTTCTTGGATAATACTCCCAAATCTTAAGTGTGTTCATAACGTAACTAACTCTGGATCATTGATCGAATGATTCTTTCTGTTCCTTCTCAGCTTTCTTTAAATGTAAGCAATTATTTTTCCTGGTCTTCTTGCCCCCTTGTTGTGTGCATACTTAGCTTACCTTAGTGCCAACACATATTGAATTCCATACAACTCATGTGATCTTGAATATCACTTCTGATTTTACTTCCCGTTCATTAGCCACGGTAGGTGCCACTTTCTTATGGAGTGCATGCAATGTTGTGGTAAGACTGTTATTACAAGACCATTTCCTCGTTAGGTCACTGTGCTTAGGCTGAAGCCTTCTTCCTTATTCCCTCATCTAGTCTTTTGTTTTAGTACTTAGGGAGGGCCCTCTGACTCTTGTAAAGCTGCAAGCTTATTGCATCGTATACTTGACGAAATTTTTGATGTTCTTCCTTGCCTATAATTATCCGTAGTTACTTATTTCCACGCCCTTGTGCTTCTAGGGTTGCTCATGAACTGAAGTTTGGACTGTCTTCCCAGTGGCATTCTCTTTTATTTACCTTTAACTACCCCAACTCCTATCTGAATATATCTCAAGGATCACGATGTCATATCTGCGAGACTGAATTCCCATGTTGGGGTTCACTATGTTTATCTTGCACGATCTGTTGATTTGTCTGTAACCTCTTATCTAGCCATAACTAGACTCTTCCTGAATCAACTACTAACTGCTCGTTGGTCCATTTTCATATCTGTATTCCGCGCAATCCCTCTTGGGTTACTCCATTTGTCTTAACTTACGTCTTGCACTGGCTCCTTATTTATCAATAACATCTCGGGTAGGAACCCTTACTTCCTTTCCTTGACATCGTGTTTGCATAATGTTCTGGAATCGTAGAATATCTGCAGGATAAGTACAATCTCATTCCTTTCACATTTATTTTATCGCATTCTTCCTTTACCATTCCATAGTTACTAGAACCACTTAATTCTGACTTAAAGCCACATCACTCCATATTCCATCTGCTTGAACAGATGCTGGAGACTCTGATTTTCGGTATAGACCTTACATAGAATGTCGTACAGATAGTGCTTCCAAATCTTTAGTGCATGAATAATAGCTGCCAATTCTAAGTCATGCACAGGATAATTATTCTCATGAACCTTCAACTATCGAGACGCATAGGCAATCACCCTACCGTCTTGTATCAACATTGTGCCAATCCCAATATGCAACACATCACAATACACAGTGTAAGATTCCCAACCTGTAGGCAACGCAAACATTGTGGTCGTAGTCAATGCAATCTTGAGCTTCTGAAAGCTCACCTCACACTCATCGTACCATCTGAAAGGAGCACCCTTCTGGGTCAATCTAGCCAAAGGTGCAGCAATGGACGAGAAACCCTTTACAAAACGGCAATAATATCCGGCCAAACCAAGGAAACTCCGGAGCTCAGTAGTTGAAGACGGTTTGGGCCAACTCTAAACTGCCTCAATCTTCTTTGAATCTACCTTGATCCCCTCACTAGACACCACGCGATGCAAAAACACCACTGAATGAAGCCAAAACTCACACTTGGAGAATTTTGCGTATAACTTCTTCTCCCTCAAGATCTGGAGCACGATCCTCAAGTGTTTCTCATGATCCTCCCGGCTGCGAGAATACACCAAGATGTTGCCAATGAATATGATGACAAACGAATCAAGATATGGCTGGAACACACTGTTCATCAAGTGCATAAATGTTGTTGGGCCATTGGTCAGCCCAAATAACATCAACAAAAACTCGTAGTGACCATACCGAGTCCTAAAAGTAGTCTTCGGGATATCTGAATCCCGAAACTTCAACTGATGATACCCTGGCTTCAAATCAATCTTCGAGAATACTCTAGCACCCCGAAGTTGATCAAACAAGTCATCTATGCATGGTAGTGGGCACCTGTTCTTCACTGTAACCTTGTTCAGCTGCCTATAATCAATACACATCCTCATAGAGCTGTCTTTCTTCTTCAAAAATAGAACTGGATCACCCCAAGGCGAGACATTCGATCGGATGAAACCCTTATCAAGCAACTCTTGAAGTTGTTCCATTAATTCTTTCAAATACACTAGTGCTATACGATATGGTGGAACAAAAATGGGTTGAGTTCCTGGCACCAGGTCAATACCAAAATCGATATCCCTATCGAGCGGCATACCCAGCTGGAAACACATCTGGGAAATCTCTCACTATCGAAACTGACTCAACGGTAGGAGTATCATCACTAACATCCCTCACAAAGGCTACATACGCTTCACACCTCTTCTTAATCATCCGATGTGCCTTTAGGAAGGACACAACCCTGCTAGGAATATAATCCAATGTACCCCTCCACTCCAACTATGGAAATCCTTCCATAGCCAGTGTCACAATCTTGGCATGACAATCCAAAATAGTGTGATAGGGTGACAGCCAATCCATGCCCAAGATCACATTAAAATGTGCCATACTAAGTAGTACTAGATCAGCTCTGGTCTCATAACCACCAATAGTGACTAAACACAACAGATAAACACGATCTACAATAACAGAATCTCCCATAATCGTGGACACATATACATGAGTACTCAAAGAATCACGAGATATATCAAAATACTAAGTAAGATGACACAGATAGTGGAACTTGGATCAAATAAGATTGATACATCCATATGACAGACCGGAACAATACCTGTGATGATAGCTTCAGATGCAACTGCCTTCGTCCTACCAGAAAAAGCATAGAAACAAGCCTGGCCTCTCTCTCTAGGGCGACCTCTACCTACATGACCTCCACCCCTAGCTGGCGGCACAGGTAGAGCGGCAACTGGAGCAGTAACCATGACCTATGAACCCTGTAGAATCTATAGAGCCTGTGTAGTCTATGGAGGTGCACTCCTCTTAAGTCTGGGGTAGTCCCTCACCATATGTCTGGTATCACCACACTTGAAACAAGCTCTCGGTGGGTGCGGCTACTGAAACTAACTCTAGCCTGGTCGGCTAGACTGACCGCTGAACGCACTCCGTGCATGAGGTGCACTGAAAAGTGGTTGTGCATAATGGGCGACTTGAGACCTCGGAATAGCCAGAGCACTATGGGTAGCTAAAAGTGTTGAATGAACTAGGTAGCTCACATACCCTCTGCCATGACGAGTTGAAACTACAGCGTGGGCACTACTAAATCATCCAAAACCTCGAGGCCTCTTGGCCTCCCTGTCCTCTCTCTCTCTCTCGGCCCCGCATACCATTCATCCTCAAAGCGATCTCTACAACCTGCTTAAATAGAGTATCTGTCTCCAACTCTCGATCCATGCTGAATCTAAGACCATAACTGAGCCCCTAGATGAATCTACGAACTCGCTCTCCGACTTTAGAAACCAAGACAGGTGCATGTCGGGACAACTCACTGAATCTGATGGCATACTCTGACACTGACATAGTCCCCTTACACAGCTGCTTAAACTCTATGCGCCACGCATCCCGAAGGGTCTGGGAACAAACTCCCTCAAAAACATCTCTGAAAACTGAGCCCAAGTGATTAGGGTTGCATCAGCTGGCTTACCTTCTCGTAAGCCTTCCATCACTGATACGCTGCTCCTAACAGCTGAAATGTAGTAAAGGAAACTCCGCTCACCTCCACAATACCCATGGTGCAGAGAATATGGTGGCACTTGTCCAGAAAACCCTGTGCAACCTCAGTAACTACGCTACTGAAAGTAGGAGGATCATACTTCTTAAACCTCTCAAGTCTCCTCTGCTCCTTCTCAGATGCCTCTAGCCTGACCTCAGGCTGAATCGGAATAACGGGTTGTGCTGGCATGACACCCGAAACCTGATCAATATGGACCCGCTGCTCTGGAGTACGGGCGCAGGAGTCTGAGCTCCTCCCCCATCCTAAGATGTAGCTGGATAAACCGAGATCAATCCTGCCTGAGCTAGAGTACTCAACATACTCAGGAAGTGTGCTAGGGTCTCCTGGAGTCTAGGGGTGACAACATGTAACTCGGGTGCCTGTCCCCCAACCAGAGCTACTGCTGGCTCATAAAATACTACTCTTGCAGGTTCTCTGGCTGCAATACATGCTCCTCCTCGACCTCTACCCCGGCCCCAGCCTCTCGCGGCTCTAGCAGGAGACGCGGGTGTCTGGTCATCTTATCAAGCAGTGTGTGTCCTCATCGTCTATGATAAAATAAAAAGACAAAGACTCAAATTTCGAAATCAACAAATCTACATGATAAGGAATCAAGGAAGTGGAAATTTCCTAATAGTTTTGTAGCCTCTCGAAGATAAGTACAGACGTCTCTGTACTGATCCGCAAGACTCTACTAAACTTGCTTAGGAGTAGTAGGACCTATGAACCTAGAGCTCTGATACCAACTTATCACAACCCCAAAATCTCACCTTATGATGTCATGATGGCACCTAGTCTCTAAGACTAGGTAAGCCTAACATACATTGAGAATTTAGAAGAGATTGATTTAGATATCAAATTAAACTGGTAACCTATCATAATAAAACCCAAAGGGTACAACAGTCACAATGTTTCCAAAATCGGTGAAACTCAGTCATAAGCTCTAAAGAGAATGTACTAGTAATCTCTAAATACCACTTTGTTTGAAATGTAGATACACAGTCGTAAGGCAAAAGAAGAAGGTGACTCTGAGGCCTACGAGTGTCAAGAAGGTATACCTTGAAGTCTCCAAAGTAACTGGGTCCACTCACTGGCGTCCGACAATAGCAGATGTACCTGGATCTGCACAAAAATGTACAAAAGCGTAGCATGAGTAGACTACAATGGTACCACTAAGTATCACGTCTAACCTCGATAGAGTAGTGACGAGGCCAGGTCGAGACATCTACTAGACATAGAAACATGTGTTAGATATTGATATAATCTAACAACGGAAAATAAAGGCAATGGAAGGACAATAAAGCAATTTATCAATACAAGGCTAACAATGAAATTAAAGCAACAAATGACAATAAGAGAGTACATGTGATAAAGACAACAAGTAACCAATTACAATCAAAAAATACAAATGGAAGGAAATAAGGAAACAAGAACAACAACCATTCAAATCATCAAGCCTTTCCAATATAGAATGTACAACAAGAATCATACTAAGTTACCTCACAAGTCACGATCACAATCTTCCTTATATCGCCGCGTGAGCCTTGCATTTATATTTTTGAAAAATATTTTTCCCAAAATAGCTACACACGCTTTAGCCCCCTTATCTCACCACGTGGATTCAAGTAATCCCCTTACTAGAAACACGCGTATAAACCCCACGTTATCTCGCCGCATGCACATCAAACCATATCCTTATATCGCCACATGCACATCAATATCACAACACAATAATCAACTCGCACCATACGTGCCCATATGCCATAACATTGCCAAAATCAACAATACCAATGTTACCACAACATATGGTCCAAGGCTCAACCACAATGTGTACAAGAATCTCAATAACAACAAAAGTGATGAGAAACAACTCAACAAGGAAATATATCTCAACAATTAACAACTTCAATCACAATGTGTTAATAGCTTTCACAACTACAACTTCAATAACTCAACAATGAAGGTATTCTCATGAAATGGAAACTTTCAATTAAAATACATGACATAAGCTTAACAATGAAAGAGATAGCATGAAATAGCGACTAAGTGTAAATGCATGACAATAACTCAACAATGGAAGGAATGGAATGTAACAACTACTACAAGCAAATGCACATACGAGTAACTTGACGATGGAAACTAGAACATGTAATGACAATTTCAACTAAAGCATGTGAGAGTAAAAGTAACAACGAAAGATAGAACGAATAATAATAACTTCAATTAAGTGTTTATAAGTAACCTAAGAGTCTAAACTGGTCAAATACCACATATAAGCCTGTGTACACACTCGTCATCTCATGTACACGTCTTCCACACAATTCAAATAGTACAAAAAAAAAACCAAATCCTAAGGGTAGTTTTCCCCACACAAAGTTAGGCAAGATGCTTATCTCAACTAGGCCAGATCAATACTCAAAAATTGCTTTTCCTTAAAATTTTCCTATGCACAGCTCAAATCTAACCAAAAACGACTTAATATCATGAAACAATGCAAGAGAAATCAATTTCGATTAATAAGGCTAAGATCTTTACACAATTTCCCAAAATTCAACCCCAGGTTCGCTAATCAAAACCCGGGTCTAAGGGTAGATCCTGAATACCCATAACCCCACGAGTTCATATATGTGTTTTGTATTCAAACCAAGTCCAATTCGATTCTCAAATCCCAAATTTTCATTTTTTTCAAAATATAGACAAAATTTTTTAAAATTTCTCTTTGATTCTCATAACTTTGATGTTAAATCTCATATATAATCATGTAATATAGTTGGAAATTGATCAAAATCACTTAGCCAATGATTGTAGGTGAAAATCCCCTCTCCAAATCGCCTCCTATCGAGTTTAGGGTTCTAAAATAAGAGAAATGAGACGAAATCCCGTTTTCTCAGCCCTTTTGTTAAGGCGAAGATGTCGCATTTGCCACACTGGGTTCGCAATTGCGGTGCTTGTCAGGCTAATGGGAAGTCGCAATTGCGACACTGGCTTCGCATTTTCGAAGCCTTCTCCCATGGCAAAGGCGACAAAATAGTCGCAATTGTGAACCTACCCAGCCCAGGCACTTCTTCGCAATTGCGATCTAGGTATCACAAATACGACACCTGAGGCCCCCCTGCTATGATCTCTATTGTGATGTTGGTGCTCGCAATTGCGACACCTGAGGCACCAGCACACCAGCAACCTGGAATTGAGTCCAAACCATTACGAAACACGTCTGAAACTCACCTGAGCCCTCAGAGCTCCAAACCAAATATCCACACAAGTCGAAAAATATCATATGAACTCGCTCGCGCGATCAAAATACCAAAATAAAAACTAGAACCACGAATCGAACATCAAAATGCATGAAATTCAAAAGAAAACTCAAGAACCTCTAGAATTACAACCAAGCGTCTGAATCCTATCAAACCAACTTCAAATGACAACAAATTTTGCAAATAAGTTCCAACTAGAAAAATGGGCCTATTCCAAGTCCCAAAACCAAATTTCGAACCCGATAGCCGCAAATTCAACCTACAGTCAAACTTAGGGAAACTTCTAAGCCCCAAATTGCCAACTTTCGGTAAAATAAGTCAAATCAACCTAGGGACCTCTGAATTTAAACACCGTTCTGGGGTCGTTTTTATAAAAGCTAAACTTCGGTCAACATTTCCAACTTAAGCTTCTAAACCAAGAACCAAAGGGTCCAAATCAATCCAAAACCTTCCCGGAACAAAACTAACCAACCCCGCAAGTCATAAAACCACAAATACACATGTGTGAAGTATCAAAAGGGGAAATGGGGCTCAAATACACAAAATGACCGGTAGGGTAATTACAAGCGAGCAACCTGATCCCAATTTTATTTCAATATATGTTGCGGTGAGCAACCCTATCCCAATATCATTTCAATAACATTAACAACTCAATACAACAAATTCCAAAATCCTAACATAAAAAGGAATTGGGGTGTTTAAATCACCAAGGACCTACGAGTACAAACAGAGAACAACCAACAACTCAAATTCACAAAGTACCCTCATATCGTAAGCCAACACGAACCTCGCCAAGTCATTAACGCAAGAATATCCACGGGCTCACATAATCGGGTATAACATAATCAAGTGCAACAAGTAAGGTAAAGGAAAGTAAAGGCACGAAACAGTATTGACGTTCATTTAATACAGGTGAGAGAATATAGCAGGTAAAGCGGTTAATAATCAAGGAATGAATAAATAGAAACATGTAACAAATAAATGGCAGTTAACAAGTAAAGGCAACAATAACAAGTAATGACATATAGCAATCAAAGCATGCAACTAGATATAACATGGAATAAATGATGACATAATGATAAATAGCCCAACCGCATTATTGAACCCATGACAGCGCATATACACTTGTCACCTTGCATATACGTCGTCACCACACAGAATTCACGTAGCAGGTAGACCATAAAAGTCATATTTCCCTAAAGTCAAAGTTAACCAATTGGGATAACTAGTCCAGGAAAGAATGGGGTTCAAAATGCGGCTAAGGCAATGTCTCCTAATCCTACTCCTACAGGGATTGAGGAGGCTGCTAGAAAGGAGTCTACTATAGATTGGGTGCATAGGCAATTTGGTACGAGCAAGGAAGAACTTAGGGAGCCCAATGTCACAGTTGACCACTCTTGTCATGCGATTCCTTCTCAAACTTATAAGGATCCTGGGCAGAAGGATACAAATATTGAAGTTAATTCTGGGAAATCTTTGTGGAGTGATGAAGTTGATAATATAGAGGCACAAATACACACAAAAATTACTACAGGAGGCAAAGAAAATAAGGACAACTGGAAAAAATAACAAACACAAGTAACACTAGTGCTACAGTAAACCCTAGGGTTCTACAAACTAGGGTTAATGGTAGCTTGAGCTCAAACAAGCAGCAACCAATTCCACCAGCTAGAGTTGATAAAGGTTCATCTAAAGAAGCTAGAACTACTGGAAATTCAGTTGTGGAAGCTTCGGCTAAGAGGAAGGCCAATGCAACAGTAAACCCTAGTGATGTTGTTGAGGTTTTGGCTATTGTTAAAGATGATCCGATGGAAGTTTCAGGTGGTGTGTAGGTTGGGGAAATTCATACTAAGGTGCTACATGATTCAGTGAGGTCAGAACATGAGACAGCCGATGGGAATCCATCTAATCTTAATGGAACAGTAATTCCAATACTTCCAGCTATAGTAAACCCTAACCTTGGTTCTGTATATGAACTTCAATTTAGAGTGATGCAGGAGAATTTGGGGGTCATGGAGAAGAACTCTGAAATGTTAAAGGAGGCAACAATGAGGGCACATGATGAAATTGAGAAAGTTATAGTCCCTAGGAACTCATGTGTAATTGAGACACTACCTATGGCATGTGCTTCAGGCACTGGATCTCCAATGCAAATTCAGATCAATGTGCCATTGAAATCTCCCAATCAGGTGTTAAATGATATTATCACACACAATGTTCTGCCTGTGGACATTCATAATGCACTAGTGGAGCAACAACAATTAGAAGATGAAGGTGATGATGAGTCAACTACTGGGAACTTTAACGTTGTAGTTAGGGGAGAAGATTTTTTACCTAGAGTTTCTGCTAGAAGGGGAAAGAAAGGGAAGGAGCAAACACAAAATAAGGAACCACTACCACCTACAAGAATCTTGCCCAAGAGGGCAGCCTCAATGAATAAATGATGATCAAAACATTAATATGGAATATACGATCTGTTAAGACTCAACAGGCTTTTCAGAGAGTCGTCAACATGCAAAGGGAACATGCTTTTTTCATTGTAGCTCTTATGGAACCTTTTCAAAAGCCCAGGTATATTCAGAACTACAGGAGGAGGCTAGGTATGGAAGCTACAATATCAAATGTCAATGGAAAAATATGGTTATTCTTTGATATTGTGGTGGAATGGGATTTGTTGATAGATACTGAGCAGCATCTGACTATCAAGGTGTACCATCAGGATATTGGTAAGCACATTATGATGAGTTTTGTATATGCAAAATGCTCATCACTGGAAAGATTAGAATTGTGGGACAATCTGTATTATCTTGCTAGTGACATGGAGCTTCGTTGGGTGGTTGGAGAAGATTTTAATATGGTTCTTAGTGA